TACCTTTTAGGCAAAACATTTACCATCGCAACAGATCACAAAGCCCTAGCATCAGCCTTAGATGGGAAGCAGTCAAATAAAACCTATAAATCCCGATTGACCCGTTGGGTCGATCGATTGTTGCCATATCAATTTGAAATAGTTCACATTCCGGCAGGGACATGGGGATAGTCGATTATTTATCGCGTGATCCTTATAATGATCCTTGGCCCGAATCGGAATTAGACAAAAAATTTGTGGTGGCAACAACAAACTCTTTTCACGAAGCGTTATACTGCATGAGCAGTAGGCTAGAAAGCATTGGGTCGCCCAACCGGAACGAAAACGTTCTAGAATATTCTAGAAGGAATTTTGCAAAACATTTATAGCTTAGTGGTTGCTATGGCAACCAAAACGGTCAAAAACGAACAAAGCTCGACCGGAACGAAAAAAAACAACTTTCGAGACCGTCCAAACAGCTAAACAGCAGCTCACAAAGAAAACAGATCCGTTTTTCTTCATTTCAACTCAGCAAACAGTCGTGCCAAAAACAGCAAAAACAATTCAATCAGTAAACAAAAATCAGAAAAAAACAGACTAAAAAAAGGAGATGTCAGGAAACTGCAATCGTTTATACGACTGGTGGTCGGATACACCACAGGAATGGCGAAATGATGAAAGAGAGGAGAGCACTCTGGACCCGGAGTGGAATCACTCCCTGTCGAACACAAACGAATTGTCCGAAGAGGAGTAGGTTACGGAGGCACTGCAGCGCACAAGAAAAATAGTTCGCGGAGGCAGGAGAAACAGAGACAGCTCGGACAGCGAGACAAGAATCCATTCCAGAGTTAAATTGCAATTGCAACCGGACCAACAAAAAGAGGCGGACAGCAGGCTACTTTCGTTCTGGCAATTGATCGGGGGAGAATCAAACACAACAGAAAACATCGATCGGGAGCTAGCGGCAACATCGGAAGAAACTGACAAAGTTCCGGAAGAAACCGATCAAGTACCAATCAGCATCACACCGGCTAGTCCGAACGAAAAAAAATTGAGCCATTTTCAACTTCGAGGTGGATCTGACAATCACAGAAGACATGGAGAGCGACCAAGAGGTGTGCGCGATAGAACCACCCAAAAGGTCCAATAAACAGACGGAACAGAAGCTGCAGAAACAGAAAACGGAGGAGTCACTGGACAATCTCTCCAAATTGTTTGAAAAAAGTCTACGGGCAGAATCGACTTCCGAGGACACGTGGATGGACCACCTCAGACGAGTCATAGAGAGAGGAGACAAACAGGGCTTCGAGCTAATGGGACCGTATACGAATCAATTGTGGTAGCCGATGGCGGTGCAGGACGATTGCATTCTGGTGAACAACATACTGGCAGTACCTCTTCAACTGAGACAAGCTGTGCTCAAAGGAATTCATCGAGGACACCCGAGTCAAGAGGCTATGCTAGGTGAGTCACAATACCTGTGGTGGCCGCATATGCACAAGGACATAGTGAACCTCGCGGAAGAGTGTCGTAGTTGCACCAGATATGGTAAGAACGTAAAATATCTTATTCCAAAAATGCATCAAAACAACTGCCACTGCTCACGCATCCGGGCCAAGAAAAACAATTAGATTACGCGGGACCGTTAAAAAACCACCGAGGAAAAAAATCTACCTTCTAGTAGCTATAGATAGATTCTCGAATTTTCCTTCGGTAAAGTTCACTAAATCAATAAGTGGAAAGTGTACGGTAAAATTCTTGAGATCATATATAGACACACATAACCTTCCGGAATCAATAAGATCTGACCAGTTTTCAGGATTTAAGGGAAAAACACTCAAAAGATTTTGAACTGAATTAAATATCGAACAAATATTCTGTACGGTGGGTGATCATCGGTGTTCCGGTCTAGTAGAACGAACAATACAAACCATAAAAAGAAGATTGGGGGTAATGTTGTTAGAAGAAAATAATGTTAGATCAAACTATGTCTTAGTACCATAATGCGAGATTTACGGTGGAACAAGCAGAAAATTGTTCAAGTATCTCCTTTCCAAGCACATTTTGGCAGACTTCCAAAAAACGAACTTAAAATCTTACGTGATACGTTTATTAACAATTCTGACTATTTAGACAAACAGCATCTGGAACGATCGGTGCTAACGGCATCACAACTAAAGCGAAGAATTGATCAATCTCGGGAGAATCTGAAGATAGTCAGAAAGGGGGAACTCAGCAGAGACACAAGCCCACTGCATAAACAGCAAGTACACTCAGACAGGGATCGTCAGAGAGGAAAATCTCTCAATGAACTGCTGGAAGCGAACGCTCGCTGGAACGAGGAAAGGCGAGACGCAGCGAAAAACGACATACGGCGGATTGTTGATGAAACAGGCCTATCTAACCCAGAACTACGAAAGGCGATGATCTACTCCTGGGAGAAAAGATTCATAGAGGATAAGGAACAGGAAAAAACGCAGTCTCCGAAGAAACTAATTTTTTGTAAGGACGAATTACGTAAGAGTGGACAAGCGCTCACAAAACCGCTAAAGGGGAAAATATCGACAAAGACGGGTTCGACATTCAAAACGTCGACAGGATCAATTTACAGGAAATCGGATATTGCACAAGCGAAAACTTGCCTACAACAAGGGAAAACGCGGAGCGAAAGCGAAAGCCATCGGCGGAACCACATAAGAAGCTTCAAAGCATCAGTTCCCCAGAAAATTTAGAGGACATTGATTCGGATGAAGAACTGCGACGGCCCGTAGAACTAGCAGATTTTGTGAACCCGGTGGATGGGTTTCAACAAAGCCAAACAGTCATAACCTCAAAGGACACGCAAGCTGGAGGGGGTCTAAATCTGGCCATCAAGCGAGCGAAGCCAAAAACAGCGGGCCCTAGCTCGATACCTGGACCTGAAACTCAGGAAGAAGTTGCACTAAAGGAGTCAGAGAAAAAGACAAAAGGCAAGAAACCAGACAACAAACCGGAAAAATAGCCAAAACAAACTCGTACCGCAGTTGATCAGAGCAACGAACAATCAACATCCACTTTGGATAACTCGAACAGTGACGTTCAATCGATTTCCTCCACAAAAACCAAACAAAAGGCCAAACTGAAGAAGATAGACTCAGAAACACGGGTCAAGAGGCTATGCTAGGTGAGTCACAATACCTGTGGTGGCCGCATATGCACAAGGACATAGTGAACCTCGCGGAAGAGTGTCGTAGTTGCACCAGATATGGTAAGAACGTAAAATATCTTATTCCAAAAATGCATCAAAACAACTGCCACTGCTCACGCATCCGGGCCAAGAAAAACAATTAGATTACGCGGGACCGTTAAAAAACCACCGAGGAAAAAAATCTACCTTCTAGTAGCTATAGATAGATTCTCGAATTTTCCTTCGGTAAAGTTCACTAAATCAATAAGTGGAAAGTGTACGGTAAAATTCTTGAGATCATATATAGACACACATTACCTTCCGGAATCAATAAGATCTGACCAGTTTTCAGGATTTAAGGGAAAAACACTCAAAAGATTTTGAACTGAATTAAATATCGAACAAATATTCTGTACGGTGGGTGATCATCGGTGTTCCGGTCTAGTAGAACGAACAATACAAAACATAAAAAGAAGATTGGGGGTAATGTTGTTAGAAGAAAATAATGTTAGATCAAACTATGTCTCAGTACCATAATGCGAGATTTACGGTGGAACAAGCAGAAAAGTATCTCCTTTCCAAGCACATTTTGGCAGACTTCCAAAAAACGAACTTAAAATCTTACGTGATACGTTTATTAACAATTCTGACTATTTAGACAAACAGCATCTGGAACGATCGGTGCTAACGGCATCACAACTAAAGCGAAGAATTGATCAATCTCGAAGAAGATAGACTCAGAAACACGATCTGAGGACATCCTCGACACATTTCAAAACCGAAACCTGGCACCAGCGGAGTGGGAGATTTTTGCAGATCAACTTCTCAAAAGGGGGTTCCAAAAAGTCGCGGATGATCTCAGAGGACATGTTCAGCCAGAATCTGAACGGGATACGAGATTTGAGCCTCCTCAGGGTGTTTAAGACGAATCTAGCGCCGAAGAATTGGGAGTCCGACGAAGCTCTAGACAGACTAAGAGTAAAGAGCCAAAACAGTTTGGGGGCCCGGTCAAACATTCCATCAAGCAAGTATCGGAGGAGTTGCCAGGAGGAGCACTTCTCAAGGCCGCACTCCAGGAGTCCCGAAGAAGACTAACAGACTTCCAAGAACGGAGTGACAGGCCTATAGAGTCCAAATTACGACTACTAGAAAGACACTTATTCCGGAGGAAATGCGGCTACGCAACGCTGGACAAAGGAATATATTGGAATCCTTGCTGGAGAATCGACCTTGAAGAAAACTAAAGAAATGAAAGTCTGCAATCACAAATCTTCAAAATACAGGAACTATCTATGAACTGAGTGCATAAAACTCTTTATAGTATAAATTATTTCATTTACCGAAAAATTTATTTTCCACTCGAGGGGGTATGTCATACTGCTACTGCAATAGCAGTAATTTGCATGATGTAATAATAACCTTCAGTGGTATCAATTATTATTATTATGATGTGTCCAAGGTCACGAGTGCAGAGACATTGGTACACAGCTGAGAGCTCAGAGTTTGAATCTACAGTATCACTCTCAGTGACTAAGAGTAGACTACAAGAAAAAAATTAATTCAAGCAACAAAGAATACATTCTTGAATTATTACTAGTTTTCCAACAAGACTCAATCCTCCATCACAATCCTCTAAGTTGTAACATAATTAGCGGAGGTGAGATAATGAGGATTAAAATGGAATCTTAGGTTTGTAGTCATTCTGGAGTGTGGTCAAAAAGTAGACAACCTATATTTCCTACTGGTCAAAAAGTAGAAAAAAACTGTATTAACCAATCAGATTTGAGAACAGAAAGCAAACTCAGGAAATAAATCAATAATAGTTGCTTATTTCCAGTTTTTCTATTGTCTTCACGTCTGTAGATTTCTAATTCACTTTCAACATGGGCCGATTTCATTTTCGGGAAGTTGTCGAGGGGTGTAGAGCGGAAGGGGGTTTTGAGGGGTGAGGACAGCAGTAGAAAGAGACAGCCTGGACGTGTGGTCTGCTGATGGGGAATATGTTCACACTCTTCTCCATCAGCTGGTAGTCACATCTGCACTCTGGACACTTCAACTCATAACCCTAAGATAAAGTTTTTTAAATAATATGTATATGCCAATTTTCGACCCCCCTTTTTCCACTCCCTCCACCCCCGCTCCCCTATTTCTACCAAAGACCTTAAGCCGAACTGTATCGGTATGTATTTTTGTTCATTTCAAGACTTTTCGGACTGTTATGTATAGAACTGATTTGAATATCAATCAACCCTACGACGTAAAGCTTGAAAAGCAAAATTTTTCGTAGCCGTGTATTTGTTCGCCAATGCAAAGTTACCACTGCTAGGAGAGTTTTTGAAACTGAAATTCAAATGCAAGGAGGGGGGGTTCACGTTTGAATTTCAGTTTCAAAAGTTTTCTTAGCACAGGTAATGTTGTAATTTTGAGTAGGTTGTTGCAAAAGAGGCTTATACGTTTTTAAGTTTTGTTTATTTAATTGGTTTAAAACTTAAATTGGTTTCAAAATCTAACTTATCAAAAATTTTTAAATTTAATTGATTCAACTATTTCTCGTAAAATTCTTGTAAGAAACGGCCAAAAATGACATTTTCTGCGTTTTTGCAATGTTTTTTTTTGGCGAGTGCTCCCTCTCAAATTAGGAACCTATTGACGCCGGAGGTAGCTTAATTAGAGCTGAACAAAAATGTATGTGTTGTGATCTTACATCAGGTTTTGCAATTATTGCAAAACATACTTAGTTAATTAACCGGTCACTCATATATGACCTTCATGAGCCATTCTCTCCGGCGGAGAGAATGATCTCTCATTGTTTTAATGTTTTAACTTATCGACTAATTCATCTTAATTCTTATTCTTTTTATTAGTTTTAACCTAGAATTAGCTACAACAAAGTAACATTTTATCATGGCGCAGTCATCTAACGAATCTAACGTGAGAGGAATACCTCCTTTTTGGCAAAACCATACGGTAGACCCACCCATCCCTTGGGAAGACTGGAGTGATCTGTTTCAATTAGCTATAATTGCTAAGGAAAACATAGATATAGAAAATTTACTCAATCCGTCGGAGAGACATCACCCACTACCTCCAAATTTGGAAAACTCAACGGACGGTGAAACAGATACTCAAAGAGGCTCGAGATTGGAGAGAAATTCCCAAGAACAAAGACGATATGACGAAGAAGAAACAGCATCGATAAAAACCGAAACCAAGAAATTCAACGGAATGCGAATAGAAGAAGCAGACAAGAAATTACGTTCGGTTTTGTATCTGGCACTGGGAAATGAAGGAAAAAGGATCTTCGGACAAAAATTTACCAAGGTGAAAGTCCTACAAATTTCTTTTAAGGAATTCTGGGAGTTCTTAGCGATCGCTTTCGTAAGAAAAACAAATGTCACATTTGAACGACATAAACTGTTAAATAGAAAACAAGGCGATAGAGAATCCCTCGAACAATTCTGGGGTGCCTTAGCTGAAATGGCGAAAAAGTGCGACATAATCGCAGGAGAAGAAGAGTGGATAAGGGATATTTTCATAAATAAAATGAAAAACTACGACATCCAAAGGAAATTGTTAACAGAAACCCTCCCTCCACGCGAAGCACTAAATGTAGCACTCATAGACGAAAAAGGAATTTTAAATCACTTGAAGTTAACCAATAATTTTAAATCCAACGGATCATCCGTACACAAACCAAGCAACCACTTTAACGTCAAAAGAGAACCAACCCTTAACATCGAAAGGAGTAACAACTGTATGAAGTGTGGCGGATTATTCTCAAAAGGTCACTTAGCAGTTTGCCCAGCAAAGGACACGACTTGTACTTCATGTAAATTCAAAGGACATTTCACCAGACTTTGTAGATCTCGTCGCAAAAATGTAAACATTGTGAATACCCAAATTGTAGATAATACAGATTTTAATCCGTCGGATATTCAGGATGTAAATACTGACCTCATGGATAGAGAATGTTGTGGCGTCATAAACGCATGGTCAGAATCTGGACAAAGCGAAAACGACGATTATTCTGTACTAAATGTAACTACGATTTTTGATAACGATGGAAAAGAATTGAAGAAACTATTGAACATTGGACTCGGAAAAGAAAACCAAGTAATTTTAAACATTCAAGTGGATTCAGCTAGCCCGGTGAGCTTCCTTAAGAAAAACGTACTTCACGAATTAAAGTTACGAGACCCCTACTTGAAAATTTATCCAGTGGATAAGTCAACTAGAGACCTATACTGTGGATTCACAGATAATGCCATAAACATCACTGGAAAGGTGAAGCTTCGGATATTTTCAAATGGTTGGTCAGACAACGACTGTCAATTCTTTCTAACCGAAGGACACGAGAGAAATATCTTAGGAAACGACAACCTTCCAAAAGTGGGGATAGAAGTCTCTCAGAAACACTTCCCACACTTTCAGACTAACAAGCAGTGTAAGTCGATAAATTCCATCTCTCAAACAAACCAAGATAGGGAAATTTTGAATATAACAAAATCATTCAAAAATTTATTCCTTCGGATTGGAAAAATTAAAAATCAGATGAAAATCACCCATTTCCATGAACCCTTAAAACCAATCCAACTAAAGGGAAGACGAGTCCCCCTTCACTTACTGGACGCGGTAAAGACAGAACTCAATAGACTAAAAGCGGAAGGACATATTAAAAAATTAGAAAACTGCGATGAGACAGATTCATTAGCCCAATAGTCATCACTTGTAAAAAAGATAAATCCATCAAATTAGCCTTAGATTCCAAGTTCATAAACAAACAGATTTACAAGAACAAATATCAAATGCCAAACATCCACGAACTGGTAGACAATGTCGCGGCACAAATTACTAATGATTCCGTTGGAGAAGTGTGGTTTACTAACTTATACTTAAAAAACGCGTACAGCCAATTAGCACTAGATAAATTCACTATAACCAATGTAACTTCAGTATCGTGGGTGGTGATATTACGGGTACTTACCAATTTTTAACTGGTTTTTACGGCTTAAGGGATATGCCTAACGAATTCAAAGAGTAATGGACTCTACGTTAGGTTCAATCCCATTTACTAACTGTTACTTGGACGACATTTTAATCTCTTCCAAAGGATCATTCTCAGACCACAAGAAAAATTTTATCGACCCTCGACGAATACAATTTCGCGGTGAAGTGGTCAAAATGTAAATTCTTTCGAAAAGAAATAGAATGGTTGGGATTCAAAATCTCTAAATCAGGTATTACCCCATTATTCGACAAATCGAAAGCCATAAAAGATCTACCTATTCCGAAGAATTTGAAAGAACTACGATCATTTTTTGGTTCTATAAACCAATACATTAAATTCGTCCCAAACTTAGCATCCTTAGGAAGCCCACTCCGACCGCTTCTAAATAAGAAATCAATATTCCAATGGAACGATGACCATACAAAAGCGTTTGAAAAAATTAAAGAAGAAATCGTAAACCTAACAGAGAATACCCATTTTGACGTGAAACGTAAAACTAGGGTAAAAACAGACGCGTCACATAATGGACTCGGAGCCTCGCTTGAACAACTCCATGGGAACGATTGGAAAACAATCTCATTTGCTTCACGCTTTTTAAACCCTCACGAGTCTAAATATTCTACGAACGAGCTCGAACTACTAGGGGTTGTATGGGCCGTCGAACATTATAAGAATTACCTTTACGGATCAGATTTCGAAGTAATTACTGATCACAAAGCTTTATTATCCGCTTTATCACCAAACCACGGGAATAAAACTTACCACAGTAGACTAACAAGATGGGTAGACAGATTATTACCTTTTAATTTCTCTATCAAACATATCGCAGGAAAAGACATGGGTTTCACTGACCTTATTTCTAGAATTCCATCAGGAAAAGCTCTTCCAATATCTCATTACGATGAAGAATTCGTAGAAGCAAACATTAATAAGATTAATAAATCATTAAATCCGTCGGAGAAAATAAGAACTACATGCTCAGCCATTGGTTTTAATCTGGAAAATTCCGATTACGCTTTATTACGTAATTACCTAATAGCAGCAGTGTTAAAACTCATTAACTCGTCTTTTCCAATTTGCTCATTTAATCACAAAAGAACAGAATTTTGTACTTCAAATTGCATTCCAACGGATTATTCTAATACAAATATTTTAATTATTTCCATTTCTAATTCCGCACTTCTTTATTTTTTAATCTCTAATTGTAGTTTAATTAATTCACCTGAATTTGAAAACTGTAAGAATTTGAAAACTGTCATTCCTAAGTCACAAATTAGTGAACTTCCTCCACTATCGGAACCGAACGAAGAACTTAATTTAGATTTCGCGGGTCCTTTGGATTCTTACTGGGGGCCAAAGAAATACATTTTACTTTGTATCGACAGATTTTCTAAATTCCCGTCGGCAAAAATTACATCGTCTACTTCTTCAAAAACATTTGTAGAATTTTTACAAGACTACATATTCTTACACGGGATACCTTATTCTATAAGGGTAGATCACGCTACTTGCTTTACAAGTCAAGACTTCAAATCATTCTGCGATTCCAGCAACATCAAAATAATCTTTTGTACAGTAGGCGACCACCGTTCCAACGGATTAGTTGAAAACTTAGTACACACTGTGAAAATCAAACTACTGGCTATTTCAAAAGAACATCATAAAAGCACACTGCAGAGTGCCGTTTCAAAAATCATCTGGAATATACGTTCTACCTATCAATCAAAAATTAAATGTTCACACTTCGAAATCCACTATAACAGAAAACCAAATACTATTTGGAAACAACTAGCCTCTGTTAAACCCTCCTTTGGAATTTTAGACAAAGGGAAATCAATTCTGTCTAAAGAACGAGCTAAGGATTGGAATGCGGACGACAGACTAGAGGATGGCTACAAGGACGACTTGATAGCGAAGAAGAATCAAAACCCGAAAGAAAAAGGATACGACACGGACTATGCTTCATCCTCGAAAATCATCCCAAATAGACTACCAATCAAAAGTCCATTCAAAGGTAAAATCCTTCGGAAAACTAACGGTAACATCAACCGAGACTGTTTCTATAAGGAACTAAATAAAAGAATTATAGATTCTTCTACTTCAACAGTAAAATTATCCGACGGAAAAATAATTCGAAAATCCGACATTGCGATTCCTATTTCTACTTCAAATAAAATCAGACCTTTTAAAGGAAACATTTCATTCCCCTATTTTCCTAATCCTAATGTTGAAGTAGGTCAGAAACAGGAAGGCGTAAGACGTAAATCAGGAACGAAAAAGCCAACGAAAAAAAGGACCAGTCAAGTGGATCCGACCCCTTCTGACAACTTAACTAGGACACGCATACCAGGGTCATCACGCAATACTACAAGAAGTCAAACACGCTACTCAAAGAAGTCATCAACTCCTCCAGGTTACCTTGCTTCGGATGAATCTATGCTAATTCCTTCGGATATTTCGGATACAAGTGAATGGGAATGGATAGCGGGCGGCTTCCCTTGTAGGGATGTAGCCAGAGAGCGTTTTATTTCAGACTCACTTACACCTCACCTCTCAATCGCAAATAATTCTAATCACACCATAACCAATCCTGAAATAAAATCTGAGATTTTAGAAAACGACATTGAACCAAGCAGAGAACAACCTTTGGACCAATCTTACGAGTGCCCAATAAGTATAATACCCGCCAACCGAACACATAGTACTGAGGAGCAGAGAACCATAAACCAGGGAAGGGACAATGACACCATTGAACAACAGGACCTGCAAGACGTGCCTAATCCAATGGATAACGATTCAAATACGGACTTCCCGGTGTTCGAGATTAATGACTCAACCGACGAGTGTACTTTACCTGACGAGTGTACTATACCTGCTAACCCTACCAGCATTTCCGGTAAAATTCCTCCTACCATCCGCCGCTCCAGTAGAAATGTTGGTCCACCAAAATTTTATGGTAAACGTTATTTTATTGATGCAGTAGAGAACGTTCAAGAAGCCTCGGGTTCGGCGGCCGATCCTATCGTGATAGAAATTGAAGGACCACACGACACCATCAACAAGACAAATCCGGCGGAGTTAATTGTCTTAGATTCAAATTCAACATCACCTGATCAAATGTCACTTCATCAACCGACGAATCACTGAGAATGGAAATAGAAAATTTTGGAGATCACTCCGATCTCGATAGCGAACTTTTCAACACAGAACTTGAAAACTTTCTAAAAGAATATAAATCTTTGTAATCACTCAGCTATACTCTAATCTGTTATTTTGGCTTACCAAGTAGCACATACTACCTTATAAACTGGTGCTAATCTTCAAATATTAATTTGTCGATCGGTAAACGTAAGAACTTTATCCTTCGGATAAACTTAATCCAAAAAAAGAAAAAAAAAGAAAACATCATCGTGTGCTCTCATAAATCATCCAAATCGACTTCCCTTCAGTTAGCCTATTACAAAGCAAGACCCCACCCATAAAACATTGGGTAAACTTCACCGCATTTTATTTTGCTTTAACATAACCCCTATCCGTTGGATTCCGGATAATCTTTCTTGCAGTTATAATAGCTATATTTAATGCTATAGGGAGCTTTAGTTAGTGTCAGTTCCTCATTTTTAAGGCGCTTTAATTTTCTTTCCCTCGTCCTTAAAGGGGGAGAAAGGAGTCAGTCATAGTTAGTTCTAGTGCATTACCTTATTAGCAATTTAAATTTTTTCCTGCTTAGGGGAATGTTGTGATCTTACATCAGGTTTTGCAATTATTGCAAAACATACTTAATTAATTAACCGGTCACTCATATATGACCTTCATGAGCCATTCTCTCCGGCGGAGAGAATGATCTCTCATTGTTTTAATGTTTTAACTTATCGACTAATTCATCTTAATTCTTATTCTTTTTATTAGTTTTAACCTAGAATTAGCTACAACAAAGTAACATTTTATCAGTATGCTATGAAGAAGCGCCAAAGAGAGACTTTTCGGGTCAGAGGGTCAAATAATTGAGGATGCGGCGTCATGATACGTGTTTTTTTTTTATGAATGTGCATTTTTTTAAATAGCGTTTCTCCTTACAATGACTATGTCTTTTTGATGGTCCTGCTGCTGCTGTCGTGGCTGTTGTTGATTTAGCTGCTGTTGTTGTTCTTGCAGTTGTTTGTGTTTGATTGAGGCCTTGAGCATGGTGTTGAGACACTTGTGGCAGTAGGTGTGTCCACACTGTGGGAGTGTCCGGGGAACCCTGTATCTCTCCAGACATACCGGACACTCCAGTCTGTCCTTCATCACACTCATCTTACTCTCGTTCAGCTGCAGACAAAAACAAGGATAAAAGTCTACTATCCCGTAGTAGAGATCTCCAACATATCCCGTCTTAAGCTAGTCTTAGTTTAAGTTAACCTAAACAATCTTAGTTACCTATCTTAATCCAATTTTTCAACATGAATATTACAGTAAAGCCCTGAAAATTCCGACTGCCTCATAACTTGTCTCGGATAGTTTTTGATAAAAACAAATTTTTGATACAATAGAAACTTTGGACTGCCGATGTCAAATACTAAGTTCAAAGTTTGAGTGTAAATGGAAATATTATGATTATTTTAGTTTACCTCTAATCAATAAGGAGCGGCTATGAGCTTGGAATAATTCTCCACGCATCAACGTTTCGGACATTGGAACCAGTATAGCCCGTTGCTGTGAAAGTTGCTCAGAATGTTCCGACCACATTCTTTTAAAAAAAACCTCCTTTTTTCCAAATTGCGTCGTTTTTTTTTTGTTTTTAGTGCGATGAGAGGATCTAATCGAAAAACTAGAACTGTGTTGGTAAAAATAAATAAGGTACTTTAGAAAATATGTTTCCACATAAAATAACTAAAAAATCAACAATATCCAAACCGGGTTTTCTCGACCGAGAATTTATCTATTCCCCCTTCCCCCAACTCCGACGAGCCTCAGTTTTACAAGGTTACACAAGGCTAATGATGATGATGTTTGTCATGAGTTAAGTAGTCAGCATCTCAATTTATATTCCAATCGGACCATTCTAACAGATATTTTATTTGTAAAGTTCGCAGTTGGGGAGAAAAGGGAAAAGAGCCCGACCATGATTAGGCTGCCAAGTCTTCGCTTTTTTAGTTAATAACTTAGGTTATTAACTTAACTTTAATTAAGCTACTGTGGTGGCGTGTCACGGAGTCGAATACACAGATAGCCGAAAAATAAATTTGTTCCCGGATAGTCAAAAAATAAATTTGCTCCCGGATAGTCAAAAAATAGTTTTGTTCCCGGATAGTCAAAAAATAAATTTGTTCCCGGATAGTCAAAAAATAAATTTGTTCCCGGATAGTCAAAAAAAAAAATTTGTTCCCGGATAGTCAAAAAATAAATTTGCTCCCGGATAGCCAATGTTTTGTTGCCCTGGATAGTCGCTGGCGTCTTAAAATAACCATAATACATATTACCAACATACTATTTAACTGACAAATACTCATCAAAACAATAACACAATTTTTTACTCATTGCTTTCTTATTTGGGGTATCCCTCCCCCTCTTACCCCACACTTAGTCCCATCAATCTTCCTTTCCCACTCCCTTCCCTTCCTCACACAAACAAACCCCCCCCCCCCCACCCCCTCTAGCATACTCATTGTCCACCGCAAACAAACAATTAAGGGCCCAAAAATTTAGGGTGTAATTAAATTGTTGGGGTTGAGTGGAGAAAATCGAGAGAAAATCGAGAAGAGTGGAGAAAATCCATCAATGAGAATAAACGTATTAACTAATCAAATCTCTTAAAAATTATCGGATTTTTTTTAGTAACCGCTGCAAAATTTGAGGCGAATTGTTTTCAATCAAAGGAGCCACAGTTTAGTGACGAGTTTTCTATTTAGTTTAGTTAAAACCGGAAGTATTTATTTTTTTTGGCTATCCGGTAAAGCGCACCGCTACGGCTAGCTACATTACCAGAGCTCACTTTGCACCTTGTAGTGCACGCACGATGTGAACTCGCAATCATTGCACCTACGCACTATTACCAAACAAATAAGCAAAGATCACTAGAATCCGCATGGTATGTGAAAATGCGATTTTTTATATTTACTTCAAAACGTTTTATTTTTTTCTCTCTCAAATCGTAAAAGGGTGAATGCTCTTGCGTATCACGGTCAGACCAACAAGACCGAGCTTGATTAAGCAAATCTGAAGCTAATAATTGTAACCGGGTTCCGGCTCATGTAACCCAAAGTATGTGATGCAGTTATCCGAATTTAATAACAGAAAACATTATGTGAAATTTTGCAAACATATATCAAAATTTTGATGCTCGTTTAATATTGTTGCTTGTCTATTTTTAGAGGATAATGATAGGGAATAGCGGATTTAGGACCGGGAGTGGTGCTTCCCCCCAGGGATTCGACCGGTTATACCTAAGTCCGATTGATCCGCCCCCCTGCCGACCAAAAAGGTCCCCCTTTGTACTAATTTGAGACACCCATTACTGGCTGACCGGCTCTAAAATTTTTCTAAAGGCGCCTTCGGTGCCATTTTATATTAATTTTAAGGGAGAAGTGCGCGCCGAAAAAATGCAATTTTTTGGTCAAAATTTTCCAAAAAATGCCTAAAAATGCCTTTTTTGGCCTTTCTTTTTCAAACTTTGCCTGCGGCGCAGAAAATTTGGCCAAAACAGGGACTTTTTAGTTCTTTGGGAGAGCTCGAAAAATCAATTTGGTCGACCTAAAAAAAGGTTGACAAAAGTTTCGATTTTTTTTTTGAAAATCCGCCCCCCCCCCTCGAGAAAATCCTATCTCCGCCCCTGCATAAAAATATAACTTTCCAATGCTATGCTACTAATTTTACGTACCTGGCTGTGTTCTATATCTGCCATTTTTTGTAACATGGACAAGGGCATGTTTTTCTCAGTGGCCATTTGACGGGGGGTAAGTCCATTATGATTGATGAGCCACAAATCAGCTCCTCTATCCAGCAACAATTCCACAGTCGCCAGTCTACGATGTTCAGGCACGAACCACGAGCTAAACAGTAATACGACGGGTGTCCAACAAACCGCAAAATATTGAAGCCAAAATTACGTAAGAATAACGTAAATTACTTAAGAATCAAGTAACAATTGCATAACAGTGAAAATTTGTTGTGAAATTGCGTTATAATATCAAATTTCGGCGTGCTGAAAATGGTAATCTTATTTTTGAGTTGTCGGCTTTTTGACTTTTTGGCCTGTAACCCAGTTATATGTTCTTAGAGTGTACATAGTATTGAAAAAGATATTGGGAATCTGTCTTTTTATCTGACGTGATAAGAGACATAATTTACAAAAAAAACTATCAAAACTTTGGTTAGGTAGCAGTTGTTCAGACATTCGCGTACTCAGACTCCTCAGTAATTAGACAAAAATTGAATTAACCAATCAGAATAGAGAAAGCAAAAACATAAATCATTCAAGAACAAGGAAATTTTATTGGACAAAATTTAAAACGATATTTTAGGCAGAATAATATTAAGCCGAAAAAAAGTTAATAATTTGAGAAAGTTCATAGTTTTTCAAAAGTTTTGACAAATGACTGATTTCCATCCCAAAACGTTTTCGATGACAAGTGACACCCTAAATAAGAATTTTTCAGGCGAATTATTTTTTTGTCCAATAACTGACATTTTCGACGTTTTTTCGGGGCTGGTTCGCCAAGCGAAATTCTCCGAAATTGCATACGAGATTCGATTTCTTGCGCACTTAATTTTTTCAGCAAGTTCGGAAAAACTTCTTTGTTCCAATTCATATTCCAATTTTTGCATTTGTTAGTAGTTCTCAAAACATTTTTGGTAACATCCTTGTCAAAAACATTCGGGACGTAATCAGTTATCCAAAATTCACTAAGGTACTGAAAAAAGTTTCAAGATTTTGGTGTCGAGAAAAAATTTCCGATAACTCGGACTGATAATTGTAGAAATATACATATCAGCTCATCAAGGCGTAAAAAAGGCCAGCTGAATAGTCTAGAAGCTATCAAGTGCAGGGCCGGATCATTTTTATACTCTCTCGAAAATCCCAGTTCCTGAAAATTTCGGAAAACACTGGATATAGTGAAACCAACATCCGAGATGGCTCGTGTCGTAAAAAAATTTTTTGATTGCTGGCATGATCCTAGTTTCAAAATCAGTCAAAAAATTTTGGGAATTTACGGTCAATTACAAAAAATGGCACTTTTGGATCAAAATCTTGAAAAATGTGGGGAGTATGTTTCATCACTTTTTCTCATGAGAAATGGCCAGACAACCGGTAGTACTTTTCAATTTTCACTCGATACGAAAATTGTGTAAATTTTTAAGAATGGTCGAGGGGCCATTTTGAACATTCCATCCCTCAAATTTTTTTTTATCTTACCAAAAATTCGAGTCCTTGAATTGTTACAAATATTAATATATCATCGCCTTGGTGCAGTAGAAAATCCTTGTTGTTAGAGCTTTTCGTCTATTGGGCGTTGAGATTTGTTTCCTCAAAAAATTTGGGTACGGGGGCAAACTTTTTTCGCGGGTTCGGCACATTGCTCTTCTATTTCGCTGAATGCTGGCGGTAAATAATTTTCATGTTTCCTGCACTTGATTTTCGTAAATTGTTTTCAGGGGGACAACTGGTGTTTTTTCAATTTTTTTGGTGATTGTTTCCTTAAATTTTGCTCCGTCACGCGATCTTATGGTGGCAAGCGGGTGAGAGTTGCAGTTTTCAAAATAATTTTTTTATTTGAAACTTAGAGAGTTAATTGGGACGGGCAACTAACGATAACGCATCTTTTAGTATTGATTGTTTTCTCTTTTTTAGTTTTTTTTTTTCATTTAAATAATCATCATCAAGTAAGTTTTCCCCTTTAAATGGAGCTTTCACGATACAAAATTTCATTATTTTGCGATAAGATATGGCCAACTTTTGGCAAATTGAGATATGAATTCGTTAATTTTCAATTCGTTTCGACCAATCAGAATTGAGTATTTAATTTGTCTAAATACTGACGAGTATGAATAGGCGGTTGCCTAATTACAGACCGCACTCCCAAAACTTTACTATCAGATAACTATCAAGTATATGCATGCGCTGAGGTCTCAAGGAAATAAAAACTGCACCTTATTTCGAAATTTTTCCCAATTTCAAAGTTTTTGAAAATTTTTCAAAATTTTGTAATCTGTAATTCGGTTGATTAAAACCTACTTGCCGCCAGTGATTTCATATGGTCAGTAGTTTATGCATGCATTTATAATGAAAAAAAAACAAGTTGTTGACGGTTTAAAAAAAAAGTCGCGTATCACCTTATTCGAAACAAATTTGAGCACGTAGTCATCAAAACTAAATCAAATTAATTGATTTAAACTTCTCTTTTACTCCTTTTTTTTATCGGAATACCAAATGATTTTTTTGTGTCTAGTAACTTCTTGGTGTCAAAAACCAATGGTCTGTTTCAATTTAATTCAGACTGACTGAACTCGTGCGTGCTGTGATAGGATGAAATGTATTGCGCGTTGATTGTATAAACTTGGCCAAGTTGGCAACTTTCAAGAACCAATACATTTTTGAGCTGAGAAAATCAATAACCTCTAGATTATTTTGGATAATTCAGTCCAAAGAGGTTAGTTAAAATGTGAAATCTGTAAAGAAAAAACCGCATGAGCACAAAAATTCCTTCAAATTCATTCAACGTCGGATTAATTAGAGTCAACGATTAACTTAATCAAAAACTCACACCCATGCTCAAAATATTTTATTCGACCCTTCATTAAAATTTGAGGTTTGGCACCTGAATTTTTCTTGTGTTTTTGTAAAGACCATGGTCTGAATATTTTGCGCTACTTGCACAGTAACCGGCTAACTTTGTTTTCTTTTTTTTGTTTCATATTCAATTTCCGGTACCACAAAAAATCGTCGGAAGGAGTCGGATAAAACATCAATTTAAAACCCTTGCAGTCTTAGTTCGAAAACTTCAAATACGTTCCTCAGTGTAGAGAACACTGGTTTCTGGTCCAATATTGAGCACATATCGTAAGCAAGCAGGTCTATAATACGGAGTTAGGAAGTAAAAAGTTAGTTTTACTCCACGAATAATAGTTTTTGAAGTTTCTTTTAGCGCCTCTTGACAAAAAAATCCTAAAACAAATTTGCAAAAAGGTTGACAAATAATTTTAAAATGTTTTGATTTTTTGAGCAAATCAATGATTTTCCAATCAATACTAAGATTAGAATACGCTTATTTGATCAAAAATGTTGTCAAATATGCATCTTCCAATCTTAGTATTGATTGTTTCTACTTATTAGTTGGCTTTCGATGAGTATAACTAAAACAAGAAGGAGATCGTCTTTTCGACGGAGAACGACTGCTATTTTTCAGAAAATGAATTAAGGCATGCTCAAACTTCATTAGTTGTAAGTTTAATCTGATAGAGCAATACAGTGCTGATTCAAATTATCCGGACAAAACGAACCAAATTTGAATTTTCAGACGCGTTTTTCTCAATTTGGGTTAAGATTAGACAAAAAGAAGAGAGAGCAAAAAATGCTTAGAATTCTATCAAAAATGGCGCAATTTTGTCTCCGAATTTCTCAACCAAATTTTACCCCAAAAATTGGCTCATAATGGTTTTCATCAATATTTCAAGAATTACGCCAAAACTACTTTGTTAACTGATGAGAAATATATATCACAAGAAGCTTCTTACACAGATGCTTCTTACACAAAGTTCTAGAAGAATTAATTCTCCAGAAACCTGTATAAATCAATTCAATTATTCGATACAGTGAAGAAATACATACGTAGTCACTCACTGCATCAGGATAGCTAGAACAGGCTTTTCAACCTAACAATAAGGGTATAAGAGAAAAATTTTTGCTTGATAATCAAGAAATGTGGTTTTTACTATAAATTTTTGCAGATTTAGCTTTTCTGTAGCTTTGTTGGACTATATAAAAGGCTTCTTGTGGTAATTTTTTCTCATCAATGAACACAATAGTTTTAGCGTAATTCTTGATTAATTGCAAAAAGCCATAATGATCCATTTTTGGGGTAAAATTTGGTTGAGAATTTCGGAGAAAAATTGCACCATATTAATTTTTGATGAAATTCTAGAAGCAACTTTTGTTCTCTTCACTTTTTGTCTAATTTGAACCCAATTTGAGCAAAACGTGTTTGAAAATTCAAAATTCGTTCATTTTGTCCGGATAATTTAAATCAGCACTGAAGTATTTCCTCGACTAACCTGAATACCATAGTCTTGTGCAGGGGTGTGTTTCCCTCTTTGTTGAGTAGATTGCACTGAGCCCCCCTGTCCAATAGGAAGAGGGCGGTGGCCGGCTGACAGTAGGCACATGCTCCATGGAGAGCACTGTCCCCTGCTATGTTCACATTGCCCAACTCTGCCCCTTTCTAAGAAAAGTTAAACATTTTAAAAACGAAATATTTGGCAGATAAAAGTGCAATCAAAATTCCATGCAGTCCGAGCATTCAATTCCCAACTATCCTTTTTGTATCAACAACCGGTTTCAATACAAAAATTTTTGCAATGTTGGTTAAAAAAATCAATTATTTATTCGGGTGAGCGAAGAAAGATTTGTAAAACCTTCTTTTTGCTACCCAATTTTAAAAATATCAATTTTTATTTTCAAATCAAAAACTGTCAAAATGAGAATTTTTTATGAAAACCTCAATGAAAAATTATAATACTTCAGTTTGCGGAGGTGCGGTAAAAAAAACGGCAAGTTTCTACTTGCAAATTAACGTGGCCGATTGGAATTGATTAATGCGCGCATTGCATCCACAATTACCAATAAAACCCAAAGCATTAGCGGTGAATTAAAAACAAAGTTGAACTGAGCCAGGCAAACTATAAGCAAACTAATAATCGGAATACTTTGAGTGATATATCATATTAAAGCGCGTGATTCAGTTGTGATTCGAAAGACATTAAGAACTTTTGAAAAAATTCTCTGACGAGAAAAACTGGTTTGAAATTTTTCATTTTTTTGTCTAATTTCGAGTTAATGAAGCGAGCGAGCAGGATTATTTATGCCTAATTTAAGACGCTTACAATAGCTTATTTGTGCCTAATTTTAAATTTTTGCAAGTAAAATTAGTTTTTGTACTTTTGAGAGTTTTGTTTTGTTTAGAAAAAAGTTTGAAAATTTTTTTTTGATTTTTTTTGCGATTTATAAGCTTGGCTTTATACTTCTAAAAAAATTGCTGTCCAGTTTCATTATTTCACTATGACAGTCGAATATGCTTATGCTCTATTTTCTCGTAAAGATCTTTTTTTTTATCACACAGCGAAGAAAAAAACAACAATGGTTTGAATTTTTTAAAAGACTGGTTGGAACGTGCAGTTACAGGCTATCCTTGTTTTTGTTATAATAAAAAAGCGCGAATCATTCAGCAGACTACTTTTTAATTTATCTATAGAAAAAAAAACTTTTTTTCAAGTTTTCTTTTTATAGACTACTGCTTCACGCAATGAATAGTCGGATCGACCGTACAATCTCCCCCCTAAGTCACCAACCGTAGAATTTCCCCTAGCCACGAGGTAAATTTGAAATTTACTTCTGTAATATATATGCGTTTCGAACAAACGCGCCCATAAAATTGGTTTGTTACAATTTTTGTGTGAGATTGCATTTGAATGCTGTTAATAACATACGCTTTGATCCGAATAGTCTTACATCTTATAGATTCAACAAAGTTTCATTTGGTTAAGAGAATTGGCTGCTAGAGTTAGTTCGAGTGCTTTCGAAAAACTTGAAAAAAAAATTTAAAAAAAAAAAAATTATACATATAATATTACAGCGCCCTGGAAGTATTGTTAAGTTTAGTACTGTTAAGTTCAGTAGTTAGTTAATGTCAACATAAATTTATAAATAGATATAATTTTTTTTTTCACGAGCTGTAGCTTTTGTATTTAAATAAAAATATATTTGCTCGTATTGTTTAATTTGATTTGTTTCATTAGAGATGTTTCATTTGAATAGAAGGGTAGACTTTTAGTGGACCAACAGGTCCCGTTGTCTATCCGTTCCTGCTTTAAATGTGGCAAATTTAATTATGCTGATATATTGTTTATAAAAGGAAAAATATATTCTTTCTTTCTCTAACAAAGTTTCATTTGGTTAAGAGAATTGGCTGCTAGAGTTAGTTCGAGTGCTTTGGAAAGTGTTCCTTTTGACCATTTTTGGCAGGTTTTGCAAGATTTACAAAATTATTTTATATTGGTGCCGATAGTTTAAAGTGGTAGGGACAGCCGGCAGAAAATGGATGTAAAACAGTATCAATGGGGAGGGAAAGAACCTTTGGGTGGCGAAGGGGTGGAAGTTTTGGCTATTTTCCACTCCCCTCCCCCCACATTTCAAATTTTCAATTTTCTTGGTTGTTTTAGATTTTATTGTGGCTGAACGCAAAATCTTACGATGTAAGCTATGAGGAACAAATGTGTTCAAATAGCTAGTTTGTTCAAAACGTAAGAATGCTTTTCAAAACTGCAATCAAAAGTGAGGGAGTGGAAATTGGAAAGAAAGAAGACGTACCTGTGTGAGGAACTGTAGAATGTGGAGGTGTCCGAAGGCGGCGGCATGTCTAACTGCAGTGTCCCCGTGTGCGTCTTTTCTGCTCAGACTCGCCCCAAACTCACACAGAAACTCCACAGCCTCTAAGTGGCCATTCATACACGCCTGCAAAAAACCATAGATTAAAAGGGAAAATAATTTGTGTCTATTGGTCGATGTCCCTTTTCTAAAACAGTTGAGTGGCTGTATTAAAAGATCCATCATTATGGGAATAGTTGAGTGGCTGTATTAAAAGATCCATCATTATGGGAATAGTTGAGTGGCTGTATTAAAAGATCCATCATTATGGGAATATTTGGCCCATGTGAACAATCTCCTCACTGAATAAACCAAATGGACAACCCCCCCCCCTCCCCCTAAAATAAATGGCGATTTCAAGCAGTAAGTCCTGCATGTGTTATGCTCAAATCTGATTGGCTGAGAAATATTACTCTTAACCAAGTGAACGATCTCCTCCCTAATTTTATCTAGGGGGAGATTGTTCAGTTGGTCAGAATAATTCATTGGTAAAATTTCAAAATTTTATCAGCCCTCGAAACTATAGCTCTAATATAGTTACGGAATGAGTACGTAAGAGGTGCGGGGATATGGATATTAAACGGTTGATCCAAACTTACTTCAAGGGTCCGAACTTTGAGGGGGGGGGGGGTGTGTTGATTTGATTATAATAAATAATCATAATAAATTGTTTCCAAACGATATCTAGTTAAAGTTATTTATAAAAAATTTATAAATATAAATTAGAATCGTTTGGGAGAACACTATTAAGCCAACACAGCCCGTTTTCAGGTGTCTCATTAAGAGGAGAACAAAAAAATTATTTAACTTTTTAGATCCAAAAAAGTTGTTAAATTCTTCGATCCAATTTATTAAATGTAAAACCTCTTTATTCGCACCTTTAAACCATTCTCTATATTTAAAAAAAATGATTTTATTTTTTTGTTTTCTCGGGTAGTCTTTTCTACCCATAACCTAGAAACCAACAAAAACAAGTTTTACTTATTGATCAATGAAATGTCTCAAAGCATGCCTAGTAAAACCGTATTTCCGTGAATGTAATTATTCAAAAATTTATGTTTAAAACTGTTTAAATGAAACCGAGAAGCCCGATTCAAGAAATTGACCCAGGCGGGAAAAAATTATCATAAAGTTAAACATTTTTCTAATTTGAGGTGTAATCGACCCTCTGTTGAGTTTATTTTTTTTATAGCTAAATTTTGATTTGTTTTGTTTAATATTATCATATTTGACGAGCCAGAGTTGACTGTGAACCAACTTTTTTCGCACCAAATCTATCAGCAGGAATATTTAGTTGGTGGTATACCTGGTGCAGTGGTGTGGTTCCATTGTACTTGTAGTTCACGTCTGCCCCTTCATCCACCATGTCCCGGATGACCTTCAGATTGCCCTCTTTGGCACCAGACCAGATGAACCAGCCAATCTTCCAGTCCGCCTGTCGGTCCCCCATTCCACAGACTAATAAATACGACACCCAAAAGAGAAACTAAAAAAAATTACGCAAAAAAAAAAAAAAATAAGAAATCACATTTTTTTTGTTTCTCAACTTTGAAAAATATAATTTGGGTCGTAAAAAGAAGTATTGATTGGCCAGTTTTTGTCCTTTTCTTTGTCACAATTGAAAATTGAATCTGAGCTTGCATACGCAATTAAACTCTAAGCAGTTACATTTGCTCCTTTTTGATCAGTTTTGCTATAAAAATTTTGAATTTTTTTCTGAAGTGTTTTAGTTTCTACTGGATCTCAATATTGTAGCTGTATGTGGATATTCCAGCAAGAAACCAAACTATAGGCTTGCAGACCCGTATGTTAATGATACGGTTCCGATTAACTACAAAAAATATTGATGATGCAACATTCAGAACACTCACTCTGTTAAAGCATTAAAAGTTCATTTTTCTAATGAATAAAGCTAAGACATACCTGATGTGAATGGCCAATAACTGAGACACGTAACAGCCCGGAAAATAGAGCATAAATTTTGTAATTAATCGATGAACACTTGACAATTTTTTCCATATAAATTTGTCAAAGTAACGAAAAGAAAAATGAAAAGCTGAAGTCAGCAAGTATATTTCACAAATTGAAATCGGGAACCTGAAAATTTTGATGTCAAGATTTTTTCGCAAAGTGATTCATCTTCACTTAAGTTTTCTAATTTTCTAATTTTATTGAACGTTTCCGATTAACTACAAATCGTACTACCGTAGCCTGGAAAAATATATTCGAAAGTACAATATCAAATTTAAAAAAAGAAAGTTAAATTTAGCTCTATAGCTAGACCGAATTTTAATTCGACCGTCGTTTCAGGCATTTGATGCATAGACAGAAAAATTGTTGTTTGTTCACGTTTATCTTAACATGTCTTGAGTTGAATAATAGAGTGTAACATCAAATTTAGTTTTACTTTTATTCTCTTTTTCTTCAGCAAAGAGTCATCTGCAGTGTGCAGGGCCGGCATGACTAGAGTGCGGTCTGTATGGTGAAGATCCATTTGTACCAACGTTCATTTGTACCAAAATGAAAAATCGGTCCCATTTGTACCGAAACTATTCAACTGGTTTTCTGATTGGTCGAATTGTGAGCCAACGAATTATTATATTAATTTTCTACTGTTCCCGGGTTGACCAAAAATGCTAGTCATACAGTTTTCATTAGTACAGAAAATTGCATGAAAGGTCTATGATAAGTATTTTTTCATATATGGAAATTGTATGACTAGTGAGTTATATTGTTTTGGTTATACCTCATAGAGTAATTTCAGATAAGGTACACCGTCTGCTCGTCACGCTATCTAATTTTCGGCCGGATAGATTCGTGCAACTTCTTAGTCTAATACCGATCTTAATCTTACTCTTATATCTCTTAGTCTCAATAGATATAGTGTACACCGGTTGGCGCGAGTTAGTTCCAGAATGAGAACAACTGTATTCTAAGTTTAATTCGAATTGCTCTGGTACTGATATTACAAGTAATTTCAGCACTTACAAATAAGTGGGTTGTTAGTTTGATGAAGTGCGATTGGTTAGTCTCTAATATTTTATAGGGATAAAACTTCTAAATTATGATCAATAATAAATTATAGTTTTGATCTGGTTCCACCCATCCGGGGTTACAGAGTTTTTGTTCTTTTGACTTCTATCTGTAATGGAGGATGGATGATGATCGTTTGTACTTCGCGAGCTTTTCTATTCCGTTCTTGGAGAAGGAAGCTCCAGGAGCTGGAATTGTAGATGTCATTTTGTCATTCAACAATGACTGTGACCACCAACAAAATCAATCTGATTTCCAAATGGTTTTTTATGATCGTTTGTTCTTGTTCGGAGTGGAGAACTGTGCTTCGATCTTGTTTGGGAATGGCGTGAAGCTCGAGTTTCGAGGGAATGACTTGTAACTCGGAACTGTACGTATACTTGAACATCGAGATGGTCATTGGTCTGGTTCAATGAAGTCCTTTCCTTCGGAGTCAAGTCGTACTTCAAATCCTTTGAGTTGTGTTTGTGAGCGGCATATCGGTTGTGTTTAGCTATTCTGTGGATTGAGTGTGATGGGGTCGTCTTTGATTCGTTATGCTCGTCTTCGTGATTTTGTGTACGATCTTTATTACTGCATTATATAATTAACTTAATAAATGGTTAGTTAGTTTTGCTTTTAGTTATGGTTTTTTATTAGTTTTTAGCACAAAAGCTTTCAATTTAGTTCTGTCATTTTTAAAGAGTTACTCACACTTGAGTAGCTCTCATCAAAAATAGGGAGTGTGTCACAAAGCGTGGGTTCTAGCACGGTGGGTTAGTCCGGCTATTAAGCATGCTCAGGACGTCCTCTTCTGGTGGGTTAGGCCAGGAGTGAGGGTATGATTGCATGCTGGTTTTTTATGGGGTCCTGTTTTGTGTTAACCTTTTATGTTATGTTTGTTACTGGTTTTTCCGTTTTGTTGTTTTGGTTGTGTCCTTTTTTCAAAAATCAAATTGTTTGGTGTTGGTTTGTATTTCGACTTTTTGGTGTTTTATTCTTTCTTTTTTAGACTTGTCAATAGTCTTCAAAAGAATAAATTATCGGGTTCTTTAAGCTGGTTTAATCCGGTTTGTGTACCGTGGGTTTTCTTTTCTTAGTCAAGCTGTTAATTTGTGGTTTACGGTGTTTAGTAAGCTGCGTTGATTAGTTTGGATTATTATATAATTCTTTTCCTACCGGTTTAAAGGAAAGTTTGAAACTTGTTATTACTAGTTTGAGTTGTTGTTAGTGAAAGTTAAAATTTGAAATCATTATTTTAAACAATTCGTCGTTGGCGAGCTGTGCGATTATGGATAGAATTTGTGTGCAAGTGAATCGTCTTTCAAAAAGTTAGTACTGCTTGCATTTGTATAAATTTACTACAGAATCTTTTAAATTTACTGCTTTGTGGGGATTGAAACGATTAAATTATTTTCCTTGTATTTAGATTTACTACATTGGGGGAAAGAATTGATAGATCAATTTACTACTGTGGTGAAGAATTTTTACTGCATCCTTAATTGCTGTTTGTTAATAGAAGTTTATAAATTGTGAAAAAGTTTGTAGTTTTTATTTTGTTTTCCTTTTTGTAGATGATCGTGATCTAAAGACTAAAGAAAAAGAAAAAATATTTAATAAAGAATGGTTAGTTTTATTTCGAACTTAATAGTTTTTAAATTAATTAATTTATGCTTATTTAATCATCGGGAAAAAATCCGTGAGGGAAGATATCGTGTATAGCATCTGATGTGGTTAGTAGCTTTGCTAATATGCGAATGATGTTTTTAGTTTGAAGAAGTGGCCAAAGCAATTCGAATGTGGTCGGAATATTTATTGGTTTTTTGAAAATTAGGTTGGGTTTAAGCTATTTCTGGTAAGGGGAAGTTTGGAGGGCTATTGAGGGATTTCCTAGTTTCTTTTTTAATTATTGTATGATCGGGGGTATTCATGTCGATTTCGTTCTTTTGGCTAATTCAAAGTTTTTGCTTGAGGGTATTTCGAGGTCCAAGCTGAGACAATATTGTTAATTTTTGTTCTAGTTGATAAGGGAGGGTCGTAATATTAAGGTTTTGTTTATTTCAGTTGTAAAAATTGAGCGGGTTGCTTATTTTTGACCTGGAGGTCTTAAAGTTATAGTTAGAGATACGCTTGAAGGTGATTGTTTGTCGGCTAAAGAAGTCGTGTTAAAAATGAGTTGATGATTCGGAAAAATTTCTGATTGGCTGAATTTAAACTAATTTGTCAAGTGCTTTTCAGCATGAATTTTGAGAAAATGTTCGGTCAATGAAAATATCTTCAGGGGGTGAAAATGTTAATTAATTTAAAGTGGTTTTTGAAATTCAACTTTCGTTAATATTCTAGATTGCGGGATGAATGTTTGGTAATCTTTTCGTGACTAATTACGAAATTTTGATGGTTGTCTTTGTAGAGATTTTTTTTTTTGATCTTGTGGTATAATTTTTTCTTCTAATTTTTGTTTTTTTTCTTTTTGAGTGATTTTTGTTGTCTTTCTTAGTTTCTTAGGGAAATTCCTTGTCCTTCTTATCTAATTGTATTTGGATGCAGCACATATCAGTGCTTTGATTTTGATATTTTGCTGAGCTATTTTGAACAACTTTAAGTCCTGTAAAAGAGTATAATTGAGTAAGTTCTCGAAGTGCGTACTTTTTTGGGTAATAAGGTAAAAGATTGTTTCGATGTTGAACAATCTTTTTTACAACACTTCTTTTTTGCTCAAGTCTGTAAGTTTGTTTGTTACATCAGTGGGTTTATCAATTTGTTGATACGGTCCTTTTCGGAGTGGTTGTAATGTTTTAGAAATTATTTTTGTGTTGTAAAATTTGGAATTAAACATATGTTCCAATTTTCAAATTGTTGCTGTGGTAAATCAGGAATTTATTTGGGAATTAAAGTTTGGTCTTTGTAATAATTTTTTGTTACTTTCTGGTAATTTTCGTTGTGTTTTTTGTCTCCGTTTGAAATTCATTCGCTGTGTGTACCGGGAGCTAATTTTAAAATTTGTGGATGATGAAAGTGATCTTCATCGTGGGTATGTAGTGGTAGATTATAACATATTGACTCTATAGTGGGTTGACAATAACCTTATGTATTTTTGTTTAATTGGCATGTTAAGCAATCCTTGCATAATACTAAATAGGTGTCCATATAATTGGCGGAGGTTGCATTTTTCCATAAACCAAAAATATTGAGTTTTTACATTTTAAGTTCTCAAAATTTTTTCGTTGTGTTTGTTATCGAACACAAATGACATAAGCCTTGGTTATTTAAACGTAGTAACCGAAGACTTGGCCGTCTTGCATTAGGAATGCATTGGAAACTGCCTGAAATGTTTTATTTCTGTCTCACACAAATAGTTTAACGAAAGTAACGAAATTTTAGTTTTTGTAAAATTTTTCAAAGATGACTAATTCTAAAATTTGAATTTTTAAATTACCAGACATTGATCCAGGCAATCAAAAACATGTCATACAAAAGAAAGAGGAATTTGAAGCGTTTTTGACAAAAGTTATTCAGAGAAAAGGAAAAAAATTCAAGATTATTATATCCAGGGCTACGTTATACACAAAAAAAAATAATTTTTGCAGGCAAAACTTTTTTTCAAAAAATGTTTGTTCGAGTACGAAAATCAAATTTTATATCAGTAAATGAAAATCTAAATTTACTGCGGAAAGGGTTCTAAATACATAGATTTGTTCCAGTTTCCGTCGAACCATCGTAAAATGAATCGGTAGAGTTCTTCCTAATCGTAGATCGTGCTTGGTCCTTAGTCTTCTCGCAATACCTGGTATTTCTCGTATTGTTTGGGAAATTGGCGGTAATCTTTTGAGCCGGAGAGTCATTTCTAATATATTGTCTATTTGATGTAACATTTTTTGCAATTTTGCAATTGTCTAATTCTAAGTCTTTTGTTTCTAAATCTGAGTTAGTTACGGTTTTGATCGAGACTTTTGGTCGCACCAGATGAGTTATGTGCTTTTGACTGTACTTATAGAGTAATTTCAGATATGGTACACCGTCTGCTCGTCACGCTATCTAATTTTCGGCCGGATAGATTCGTGCAACTTCTTAGTCTAATACCGATCTTAATCTTACTCTTATATCTCTTAGTCTCAATAGATATAGTGTACACCGGTTGGCGCGAGTTAGTTCCAGAATGAGAACAACTGTATTCTAAGTTTAATTCGAGTTGCTCTGGTGCTGATATTACAAGTAATTTCAGCACTTACAAATAAGTGGGTTGTTAGTTTGATAGAGTGTGATTGGTTAGTCTTTAATTCTTTATAGGGATAAAACATCTAAATTATAATCAATAATAAATTATATTTTTGATCTGGTTCCACCCATCCGGGGTTTACAGAGTTTTTGCTCTTT